ACTGCGACACCAAAGTCCCCCGACAATACTATAAGCTGATGAAGAGACAACCATGCAAGTGGTTCTGGTACATCTGTCCAGAGTGCAGGAAAATGCCCGCACTCCGCACAGAAAGCCTGAAGGAGATGCTCTCCGCCACGCAAAAGCTACCAGCATCCTCGAATAAAGTAGGGTTAACACCAAAGGATAACACAGAGAGACCTGGAAACAGACCTAGAGCTCCAGCTGCGGGCACGCCACCTCGCGTGGGGACCATATTAGGTCAAGTCTCCATACCTCCTACCCGGCCCCAGGGAACGTCAAGCGCATGGCCAAAGACATCGACCGCCGAAGCCTCTACGAAACCCATTCCAAACACCCACACACCGTGACTGAGAAACAACCAGTGGAATTACTCAAACCCATTGGGAATGGGCGTGCCACCCACAACGAACCCAGGTCACAGGAGGACCAACTCGATCATTTTGTTCAACGTCGATGTATCGACAGACTCATTGTTGGTCGAGAGGGAACGGTTTGACAGCCGAATGTGGACCGACTACTGTCAGATGCTGGGACTCCCTCCCCTCCCTGCAACTTTGTGTCGCCTTTCTCGAGGAAGCCGTGCACCCCGAGATAAGCCACCCCCTTTACGTGTGTCCCTAAATACTGCAAAGAGGCTGAAGACACACTCCTCCTCTCGCGACAACCGGACGTTGTTAATGCCTGTAAAATTCGGGCCAGGCCTGACAAGCCATGGTCAATAAGAGAGGAGGAGAGAAAGTCAGCGGTTGGAAATCCCAACAGAAACAACACTATAGTTGTACATGGGATTCCAGAATTGCCAAGTGACCGCTCGGTCAAAGATCGGTACTTTCACGACGTCCAACAATGGCAATGGCTCTCAACCAAAGTTGGTCTCAACAGTATACCGGCCAACAGCGTCAGTAGACTGCCAAGGCCAGCGCACCTGAAGACCATACCCAATCCCAGACTACTCGCCGTCCAGTTCGACTCATATGCCTCCCTCACAGACGTTCTACAGGCATGGTATAATGCGAAGGATCGCATGGGTGGCTCAATACGTATATGTGAAAGTAAGCCTAGACCCACAAGGCAAGAGGAGAGACGGCAACCACCAAGACCTCTGGAGTCAGTGGTCGTCACACAGGCGCTGACCAGTGAGTTAGATACATCAAGTAAAGAAGCCACCACTGCCACAGCCCCCACCCAAGTTAATACAAAACACAAAAAAACGGAACAATGCCAGTCCTATGAGGACTGGCGAGGCTAGACCCAACCACATAAGCGCTCATCCTGCGAAAATACACAACCAGACCTCCCCCTCACCAGGCACACTCTAATATGTATGTACAGCAACGTTAGGGGGCTAAGAGGGAAGGTAGCAGAAATGAGGACGCTGCGTGAACATCAGCACTCCGACATCATATTCATCACCGAATCCTGGCTCTCGCGGGCATCTCCGACGAAGAGATGCATGTTACTGGCATGGAACTCTTCCGCAGGGACAGGGAACATAGAGCAGGAGGGGGAGTGGCTATCTACGTAAACTCTGTTTAAAGGCAAGGATGGTTAGCGATACGGCCTTAACCCAGCTCCCAGAGTCTCTATGGTGCTACTTCACTCTCCACAGTACCAAATACCTGCTCGGAGTCATATATCGGTCCCCCACCAGCTCCCCTACACATAAGGAAATGATCATCAAGGCTATCTTAACGACTTCCTCTGCAAATTACGATTCCGTAGTCATTGCCGGCGACTTCAACACCCCGTCCATCCTCTTCGAGACGGAAGGGAGACGCATCAGATCCTTCAATCAGAAGCTGAAGGATGCAATTAAGACTGCTGGCCTCTCAGAGAAAGTGGGTGATGCTACACGCTGGGGACCTAACGGAAACGCATCGCGCCTTGACTACGTTCTGACGAACGATGAACTTCTCATTGAGGATGTTTGCATCCAACCTCCCCTTGGCCTCAGTGACCACGCTGTAATCACCTTCTCCATGATAACTAGGGAGGCTCTGCAACTGGAGACGCCCAACACCTTCCCTTGCTACAGCAAGGCCAACTATGAGACCATGAGGGACTACCTCATGAATGCATCATGGCCAGTGGACTGGACTCATCTCACAATAGATGAACACTGGTTGGAGGTGAAGAAAATAATCACTGGGGCCATCAGTCACAGTGTACCAGAAGTAACACACAGACAATCAATGAGAACCTCATGGTTAAAGCGTGGGACAGAGAGGCTTATCCGGAGCAAGAAGCAGGCTTGGTTCAAGTGGCGTACATCACGCAGGGAGTCTGACTTCTTGAACTACAAAAGGATTCGCAATCTCTGTAACATTAGAGTGCGTAACGACAGATTTTCCTACCAAACAAACTTGGCGGCGAGGTTACAAAGCAACCCCAAAAACTTGTACCGCTTCATGTCAAGAAGAAAGTCGACCAGTAAGGGAGTGAATCTTGTCACAGGCCATGACGGGAGTGTGCTAAGCAGTCTAGAGATTGCCGAGCTTTTGAGCTCACACTTCCAAGCCCAACTCAGCACTGACACAAGATCCACACCGACTCGCCACGACACCGACCAGGTCGTAAATAACGAATACCTCTGTCACGTCTCTATTACAGAGAAAAAGGTGTTCGAGAAGCTATCTAGGCTACGTCCGGGCAAGTCCCCTGGCTGCGATAACCTGAAACCAGTGGTTCTGAAAAACTGCGCCGAGGTGCTTACTAAACCACTTCGCAACCTCTTTGAGCACTCAATAGACTCGTGCAAACTCCCTAAAGAATGGAAGAGCGCCATCTTGTCACCCATCTTCAAGGGAGGAGACAGAAAAAGCCCTGGCAGCTACAGGCCAATTGCCCTACTCCCTATTGTGTCGAAAGTGTTGGAAAGCCTGGTAGCTGACACCATCTGGGAATTCCTCAATAGGAAAACACTGTCCATACTGCTCAGCACGGCTTTCGGAGTGGTCGCTCATGTGCCACCAACTTACTAACCGCCTGGGACGACTGGACACAAAGCTGGGATAACAGAAAACCTGTACATGCTGTATTTCTCGACCTAGCCAAAGCATTTGACAGTGTCCCACCCACAGTACTGCTTCACAAGATCATGTCAGCTGGTATAAGTGGACCCCTACTCTCTTGGTTCAAGGAGTACCTGGAAGGGAGGCAGTTCTGCACTAAAGTAAACAGAATAAGGTCGGAGTGGAGACCCTCGACGTCAGGAGTATCCCAAGGAGCAATCCTAGGACCGCTTCTGTTCCTCCTGTTTGTCAACGATCTGCCAGATAAAATATCCTCACCCATCCTCCTCTTCGCTGACGACATAAAAATTTGGAGGGTGGTAAACGAAGAAGCTGATTGTACAGCACTACAAAAGGACTTGCAGCAACTCGAGCTCTGGTCGTCGGAAAATGGCCTGAGCTTCAACCTGGAAAAGTGCAAAGTAATGCACATCAGTAAAAATGAAGCAAGTACGACCGACTTCCAGTACATGTTGAGCAACCGTGCTATCACCAGAGTGTCCATGGAGAAAGATTTGGGGCTCAACTTCTCCGACACCTTGGACACCAGCTCCAACTACAAAGGTATGACAACCAGAGCGAACGCCATTCTACACTTTCTGCGTAGACAGCTTGGCGCCCTCACTCCCGAACTCTTCCTCACCATTTTCAAATCCTACGTGCGGCCGCATCTAGAGGTCTTCAATACGGTGGCTCCTCCAACACTCAAGAGAGACTCTAATCTCCTTGAAAGAATACAAAGAACTGCAACAAAATCTGTTGTGGGGCTAAGGGGAAAGACGTATCCTGAAAGACTTAAACACCTAAACCTATTTACCTTGGGTTATCGCAGGAAAAGGGGTGACCTCATTATGGCATACAAGATCGCCCATCAGGCAGACCATGCAAACAAATCAATTTTGCCTGCAACTCAACGATCTTCACGAGGAAACCCCATTAAGATAGCACACCAGAGAGCCAACACCATACTCAGGTCCAAATTTTTCTCCCTAAGAGTATGTGCTTTATGGAATGCCTTACCGCGACACATCGTTATAGCTCCTTCAGTCGACTCTTTCAAGAGGCGATTAGACAGTTATGTCACCTCGCATGGACTACCACGGACGTACTCAGGTAGTCACCAACCTCACTAGCCCCCAACTCCCTCCTAACTACCACTCACTATCTCCCTCCTTAATGCACCCACATTACCTACTAATTCTTCTGTAGGAACCAAACCCACGCGACCATTCGCGCAATTCCCAAATACTTTTCTTTCGTTCTTATTTCTCTTTTTCACCTTTCTTTCTCTTCTTTTCCCTTTTCTCTTCCCTTATTATTATTTTTTCTTCTTTCTCCTCCTTTCCCCTTTTTTCTCCTCCCTTCATTCTTTACCACTACCTTACCATTCTGTTTCAGGTACCTATACGGACAGGAGTCACGGCAGTTCCCTAAACTTCCCAGCAACCCGCAGCTCCCCAATCACTCTACAAATTACAACTTACTAACCCACAAAACATCCACCTCACTGAAGCCAAAAGCAAGAAAGCAGAGGGGATTTCCTCGTTCACTGCAGGAGTGAACCGAACAACTCGAACCAAGCCCTAAGAACCAGACGCGAGATACCAAAAACTACCAGTTCTCTACGCTCGCAATATCAACATTGGATATTTGAACGAATATAGGCAGGAAATATTGTATGCAGTGGTCTGAATCTCGTCTTAGATTACAAATTGTGATTTTCGGCAACTTTTCCCAGTGTTTAAGGACTCATGCAAATAATCGTGCCTATTCATATATGCTTTTACTAATCATACGCTGTGCATTACCAGAAGACGTTAAATAGGACAGATACTAAATAACGGTATTATTTTAACTACCCCAGGATTGCTCGGAATCCCTATAACAAGTGTAAGTAATGCACGTATCAAATGGAACTTTATCCTGCTTAACAGGAAGACAATGATAGTTGATAAAAGTACTTACCACATCTGTCCCATAGAGTGGCGATACAGCCTTCAGCTCCCAGTAGTGAAGACCACACTTCAAAGCATCTGTTCCACGAACAACAGCAGTACCCCAACTGATAACGGGATGGAACGTAACCGTTATATCATTTTCTGATAATCGAAAGGATTGGTTGGGGGACTCTGGTTTGCACCAACGCCATTCCAGAGCTTAAAAATTAAGTATGACGGAATCCAGGCTCACATTCTTTAGGATTTTCATGACAACGGCACCTCAATATCCAGTTCAGCTCTGAAAAGTTCGAAGAACTAGGATCGCAATGAACACATCTGTCCCGGACAGACATTAATAAACGCAAAAGTAAATGAAAGCCCCTTGCGCCAAAACTAAGGCTCAATGACGACCTTCGCGATGTACACAACATAACAGTTTCAATTCAATATCCAATATCTTTTAAACGAGCTTGCATAAACCAGTTGATTTCTTCTTTCTCGCTTCTCGGTCTTGCGGAACGGTTCAAGATCTTTGGCCGATTCCGATGCAGTAGATCCAGCCACACGTCTGCTATAGCTCCGAATTACAGAACAGGAAGTTAAGTGTTGGTTTGTTTGCCTTGGACTGTGATGCTGTTGGCTTCTTCAGACGCCGAGTTGCCAGACAATTGTTCGGACTGGTCGCTGGAGGGGGTTGGGGATAGTGGAGAGAAAACCTAGAAAGTGTTTGTGTGAGTAAAAGAAGAGAGGGGAAGTGAACTAGTGGAGTAATCTACCCTCACCCAAGTAAGATGAGTAGGGGTGCAAAGGTGTGAAGAACTTCGGTAAGTGAGGCTAACTTATGGCAAGTGGAAGGGGTGAAAAGGGCTTGAATGGTTTCAACAGAAAGAAAACCGGTTGGGGTGGCTTGACATCACTTCGTGTTCCAGTTATGTGTGGGTAGACAGTGAGTCTCTGCATGGACTGTCTAGCCTCTTCTTGAAGCTTTCAACAGTTGGGGTGGAGACAACCTCTGCTGGTAATGCGTTCCAGTACCCATAGACTCATAGAACGCATATGCGTTTTGACCTTTGGTGGGTTATTCTATTAGGGTTCCCTCGAGGATCTCTGTGGTGGCCGCTCGGTAGAACTCCTCTGTTTAGGTGGTCCGGGTCACTCGTAATTTTGTAAGCCATTATAACAATAATAATATTTACTCCCGAATATACAGGCATACACCATTTTTACAGGTATGAATAAGTCTACATACAAATTACATTCATCTTCATGGAAGGTACTCTTAATCCCTACCCTTGTCACTGGAAGATAGTGCTGCATTTTCATATAATGGAACATCCCAACAGAATAAGTGTAGAAAGTTTACAGGTTGGACAAGTGGAGGTATTGTCTTCGCATTCACAAAAAAAACACAGGTTTGTATCCAGACAATACAGGTATTACCTGGAGAATAATAAAGCTTGAAGCTAATACTTCCATTGTAACAGTTTCTACTTATTGCTTGAGATGATAATGAAAAGTTTATGAGTTGTTTACACATTGTACTTCATTGACGATTCCAGGACTGCATAATTCATCCATTATTCATCACAATTTGTAATCTAAGACGAGATTCAGACCACTGCATACAATATTTCCTGCCTATATTCGTTCAAATATCCAATGTTGATATTGCGAGCGTAGAGAACTGGTAGTTTTTGGTATCTCGCGTCTGGTTCTTAGGGCTTGGTTCGAGTTGTTCGGTTCACTCCTGCAGTGAACGAGGAAATCCCCTCTGCTTTCTTGCTTTTGGCTTCAGTGAGGTGGATGTTTTGTGGGTTAGTAAGTTGTAATTTGTAGAGTGATTGGGGAGCTGCGGGTTGCTGGGAAGTTTAGGGAACTGCCGTGACTCCTGTCCGTATAGGTACCTGAAACAGAATGGTAAGGTAGTGGTAAAAGAATGAAGGGAGGAGAAAAAAGGGGAAAGGAGGAGAAAGAAGAAAAAATAATAATAAGGGAAGAGAAAAGGGAAAAGAAGAGAAAGAAAGGTGAAAAAGAGAAATAAGAACGAAAGAAAAGTATTTGGGAATTGCGCGAATGGTCGCGTGGGTTTGGTTCCTGCAGAAGAATTAGTAGGTAACGTGGGTGCATTAAGGAGGGAGATAGTGAGTGGTAGTTAGGAGGGAGTCGGGGGCTAGTGAGGTTGGTGACTACCTGAGTACGTCCGTGGTAGTCCATGCGAGGTGACATAACTCTAATCGTCTCTTGAATGAGTCGACTGAGGGAGCTATAACGATGTGTTGCGGTAAGGCATTCCATAAAGCACATACTCTTAGGGAGAAAAATTTGGACCTGAGTGTGGTGTTGGCTCTCTGGTGTGCTATCTTAATGGGGTTTCCTCGTGAAGATCGTTGAGTTGCAGGCAAAATTGATTTGTTTGCATGGTCTGCCTGATGGGCGATCTTGTATGCCATAATGAGGTCACCCCTTTTCCTGCGATAACCCAAGGTAAATAGGTTGAGGTGTTTAAGTCTTTCAGGATACGTCTTTCCCCTTAGCCCCACAACTGATTTTGTTGCAGTTCTTTGTATTCTTTCAAGGAGATTAGAGTCTCTCTTGAGTGTTGGAGGAGCCACCGTATTGAAGACCTCTAGGTGCGGCCGCACGTAGGATTTGAAAATGGTGAGGAAGAGTTCGGGAGTGAGGGCGCCAAGCTGTCTACGCAGAAAGTGTAGAATGGCGTTCGCTCTGGTTGTCATACCTTTGTAGTTGGAGCTGGTGTCCAAGGTGTCGGAGAAGTTGAGCCCCAAATCTTTCTCCATGGACACTCTGGTGATAGCACGGTTGCTCAACATGTACTGGAAGTCGGTCGTACTTGCCTCATTTTTACTGATGTGCATTACTTTGCACTTTTCCAGGTTGAAGCTCAGGCCATTTTCCGACGACCAGAGCTCGAGTTGCTGCAAGTCCTTTTGTAGTGCTGCACAATCAGCTTCTTCGTTTACCACCCTCCAAATTTTTATGTCGTCAGCGAAGAGGAGGATGGGTGAGGATATTTTGTCTGGCAGATCGTTGACAAACAGGAGGAACAGAAGCGGTCCTAGGATTGCTCCTTGGGATACTCCTGACGTCGAGGGTCTCCACTCCGACCTTATTCTGTTCACTTTAGTGCAGAACTGCCTCCCTTCCAGGTACTCCTTGAACCAAGAGAGTAGGGGTCCACTTATACCAGCTGACATGATCTTGTGAAGCAGTACTGTGGGTGGGACACTGTCAAATGCTTTGGCTAGGTCGAGAAATACACATGTACAGGTTTTCTATTATCCCAGCTTTGTGTCCAGTCGTCCCAGGCGGTTAGTAAGTTGGTGGCACATGAGCGACCACTACGAAAGCCGTGCTGAGCAGTGTGGACAGTGTTTTCCTATTGAGGAATTCCCAGATGGTGTCAGCTACCAGGCTTTCCAACACTTTCGACACAATAGGGAGTAGGGCAATCGGCCTGTAGCTGCCAGGGCTTTTTCTGTCTCCTCCCTTGAAGATGGGTGACAAGATGGCGCTCTTCCATTCTTTAGGGAGTTTGCACGAGTCTATTGAGTGCTCAAAGAGGTTGCGAAGTGGTTTGGTAAGCACCTCGGCGCAGTTTTTCAGAACCACTGGTTTCAGGTTATCGCAGCCAGGGGACTTGCCCGGACGTAGCCTAGATAGCTTCTCGAACACCTTTTTCTCTGTAATAGAGACGTGACAGAGGTATTCGTTATTTGCGACCTGGTCGGTGTCGTAGCGAGTCGGTGTGGATCTTGTGTCAGTGCTGAGTTGGGCTTGGAAGTGTGAGCTCAAAAGCTCGGCAATCTCTAGACTGCTTAGCACACTCCCGTCATGGCCTGTGACAAGATTCACTCCCTTACTGGTCGACTTTCTTCTTGACATGAAGCGGTACAGGTTTTTGGGGTTGCTTTGTAACCTCGCTGCCAAGTTTGTTTGGTAGGAAAATCTGTCGTTACGCACTCTAATGTTACAGAGATTGCGAATCCTTTTGTAGTTCAAGAAGTCAGACTCCCTGCGTGATGTACGCCACTTGAACCAAGCCTGCTTCTTGCTCCGGATAAGCCTCTCTGTCCCACGCTTTAACCATGAGGTTCTCATTGATTGTCTGTGTGTTACTTCTGGTACACTGTGACTGATGGCCCCAGTGATTATTTTCTTCACCTCCAACCAGTGTTCATCTATTGTGAGATGAGTCCAGTCCACTGGCCATGATGCATTCATGAGGTAGTCCCTCATGGTCTCATAGTTGGCCTTGCTGTAGCAAGGGAAGGTGTTGGGCGTCTCCAGTTGCAGAGCCTCCCTAGTTATCATGGAGAAGGTGATTACAGCGTGGTCACTGAGGCCAAGGGGAGGTTGGATGCAAACATCCTCAATGAGAAGTTCATCGTTCGTCAGAACGTAGTCAAGGCGCGATGCGTTTCCGTTAGGTCCCCAGCGTGTAGCATCACCCACTTTCTCTGAGAGGCCAGCAGTCTTAATTGCATCCTTCAGCTTCTGATTGAAGGATCTGATGCGTCTCCCTTCCGTCTCGAAGAGGATGGACGGGGTGTTGAAGTCGCCGGCAATGACTACGGAATCGTAATTTGCAGAGGAAGTCGTTAAGATAGCCTTGATGATCATTTCCTTATGTGTAGGGGAGCTGGTGGGGGACCGATATATGACTCCGAGCAGGTATTTGGTACTGTGGAGAGTGAAGTAGCACCATAGGGACTCTGGGAGCTGGGTTAAGGCCGTATCGCTAACCATCCTTGCCTTTAAACAAGAGTTTACGTAGATAGCCACTCCCCTCCTGCTCTATGTTCCCTGTCCCTGCGGAAGAGTTCCATGCCAGTAACATGCATCTCTTCGTCGGAGATGTCTGCGAGAGCCAGGATTCGGTGATGAATATGATGTCGGAGTGCTGATGTGACGCAGCGTCCTCATTTCTGCTACCTTCCCTCTTAGCCCCCTAACGTTGCTGTACATACATATTAGAGTGTGCCTGGTGAGAGGGGAGGTCTGGTTGTGTATTTTCGCAGGATGAGCGCTTATGTGGTTGGGTCTACCCTCGCCAGTCCTCATAGGACTGGCATTGTTCCGTTTTTTGTGTTTTGTTATTAACTTGGGTGGGGGCTGTGGCAGTGGTGGCTTCTTTACTTGATGTATCTAACTCACTGGTCAGCGCCTGTGTGACGACCACTGACTCCAGAGGTCTTGGTGGTTGTCGTCTCTCCTCTTGCCTTGTGGGTCTAGGCTTACTTTCACATATACGTATTGAGCCACCCATGCGATCTTTCGCATTATACCATGCCTGTAGAACGTCTGTGAGGGAGGCATATGAGTCGAACTGGAC